AAAACCAGGTCAGAACACACCTCAGCAGCTCCCAGCAGCCTATCCTCTCACAGGGCTCTACTCCAGGGATTAGCAAATAACAGACAACAAAATGTTCCATCTTGATCTAGGAGACAACCTGCTGCCTGTTTTGTAATTAAAGTTTTACTGGAGCACAGCCATGTTCATTCATTTATGAATTGCTGGTGACTGGAATGGCAGAGTTGAGAAGTTGTAACAGTGGCCGTATGCCTAATAAAGCTGGAAATATTTACTCTACGGCAATTTATAGAAAGAATTTGCCAATTCTTGGTCTACACTTTTAAAGACTTGGCCTGCGGCAACCTACTAGAATATAAGCAAAAGATGTATAGTTACCATCTGCTGTTGTAAACATTTTTATGGGGAAAAGGGGAGGGAGTGTTGCTATTTATGTTGCAGTATTACATACAGTGAAGGTATCAATCTTTTTGTTTTCCTGTGCTGTGTACTAACGCGAGGGTGTCATGCATGCCAGGCAAGCACTTTACCAAAAGCTGCACCTCCTAGCCCATGGCAGAAATCTGAATAGGTATCACCTATGCAACCAACACCTAGATCCAGACAGCTCTCTCCTCTTCCAGTCAGTACTCTCAAGAAAAGTAAGTATAGGGGCCGGGGAGATAGCTCAATCGAATAAGTGCTTGCCTGGCAACTGCAATGGTCTGAGTTCCATCCCCGGTTCTGCCAAAAAAAAAGTAACTATAATTTTAATTTCTATCATACAGATTCATTTGCCTATTCTGGAATTTTGTATGCATGGGACAGAACAGAACTCTTTGTCCTGGTTTCTTTCATTCAGCACTAAATCAGTTGGTAACATTTATATATACATATATATATATAGATATATGTATATGTATATGTATATGTATATATATGTATGTATATATTTTAATATGAAGTCATTTCTTCCTCGTTTTTGTATAGTATTCAATTGCATGAGCAGGCCACTATTTACTTATTTTATTGTTGGTGAACATTAGATCACCAAAAACATCCAGCTTGTTGATATTATGAATCAATCTGATATGAATATTCTTTTTTATATTTAGAACAGGGTCTATAGGGTTTCACTGCATATATCAGACTTGTAGTGGTCCTCCTGTTTACAGCCTCCCAAGCACTGGGATTACAGGCATGTGCCACCACACCCAGTCTCAATTGCCATCTCAGTGCACCCCGGGGGGTGGGGGACAGCATAGCAGGCCTGGGGATTGAACTCCTGACCCCTGTATCTGCCTAAGCAGGTGCTTTAAACCATTGAGCTATTTGGCTGGCCCTGATATGAATATTCTTGTACATATCTTTTAATGGGCATAATGAACCACTTACAAGATGTGGAATTTCTGGGTAACAGAAGATAACAGTAAACACTTTTCCAAATTGGTTGTATTTTTTAAATACACAAAAGTATCATTTTAATTTGTATAACATTTTGAAAGCAAAAGTTCAAAACATCCCTCCCACATCATACTCTTCTGTTTCTCCTATGATGTACTGGCTGTCCTAGGGATGGATAGATGGATGGATAGATGCCTGACTTGCTCATTTTAGAAGTACAAGCCCTGACCTTGGCAATGTGCTGGCAACTCTACAAACTCATCCTATTAAGTCCTTACCCAAAACTCTATGGGCTTTATAAACTCAACATGTGGAAGATAAGACAATAAGGACCAGGAGGGATAAATATCTCAACCATGACAATACAATTAGATCCATGGCATTTAAGGTCTTCCACTGAGCTCCTTATTTTTCTTTTTAAAAACCAAAGTCCAGTTTTATACTCATCACCAAGTCAGGAAAATACAGGCTATGGCACCAATCCTCTCAGCTACTTATTCATTTAAATATACTTAAATTATATGATAGCGTTTGAGTACAAAGCCTCACATGACACATTTAAACCATTATGATTTCATATTGCACTCCATGTCTGAAGATATGGCTACCCAGATTAAGAAGGGTAGACAAGTAAGAGGCTACAAGCACCCTTCAAAAATTGAACATTGGAGGATGGTCATAAACCACAGAGTTTCACACACAGGTATGGAGTTAGGGGAAAATAACATTATAGATTTGTTTATTTCCTACTCAAGTCTCCATTCCTTGTAGAAGCAGACTTAAGTGGCATAAATCAGAAAATGATAATGGGAACTGAATGAAATTCTCATAAATCATGCTACTAAGTATAGTTACATCGTAGATGTGGAACCCAATTAAACAGATGGCCACATGCTGTCAGAATCAGCCCCTAATCAATAAAGATGTTCATTTTAGAAAATCACCTCAATTTTTCACTTTTTCAGTGAAGCAAAAGGAAGGCAGTAAGGGGAACTTATGGTGAGGGGGGAGTCCCAGGAAACCTAATAAGGAAATGTGTAAGAAGAAACTCCACCTGTCATAATTTGTAGTTCAGAATATTAGAAAGGAAAGAGGGGGACAAGTCACCCAAAGGATTCCTTGTCATCATGCCTGGAAATGTAATTTACAACAAGAGCAAGCACTGGTCATTAGGAAAATAGAAACAGCTTGAATCTCTTAATTAAAATACTGCTTCAAATTGTTCATTTCAAAGCCCCTCTGCCTGTGAGCTTTCAAGAGTCCATTAGGATACTCTGAAATGGCTTCTTTTAGAGTAAACCTCTGAGAGGATTAGCTCTTCCCAGACCAGGAAAAGGCAGAGCAGGTGGAAACCCTGAAGACCGAACTATTATTAGACATAATAAAGTCCCCAAACGAGCAGGGAGTCTTCAGTGACATTTCAAAATAAGTGTGGAAACACTGAAGAGACTATCCCATTGTCTTTTCTTCCAGAAGAGTTGATCTATTACACTGATTAAGACTAACAATGCCAAGAACTGAAAAAAACAAAAGGAATAACAGACAGCTTCTGCAGTTTGGTATGTGAATTTAAGGAACATTTGTTGTACTAAGTACATGAATTTGTTGTGCTAAGTACAGAACACCACTGCTCTGAATATTCTTTTATATTTCTCCTGAAAAAAGATGCAGGTATGTATCCTGAAGTGCAATTACTCACTAGTAGGGTATGCAAATACTCTATTTTACCACAGCACAACAAATGTTCCTTAAATTCACATACCAAACTGCAGAAGCAGTCTGTTGTTCCTTGTTTTTTTTTTTTCCAGTTCTTGGCATTGTTAGTCTTAATCAGTGTAATAGACCAACTCTTCTGGAAGAAAAGCCAATGGGATAGTCTCTTTAGTGTTTCCACTGGAGATTGGAGATTAGGCGTGGGTGGCAAGCACCTGTAATCACAGCACTTGGGAGGCTGAACACAGCCGGTTCACTACGAGTCTGATCTACGTAGTGAGACCCTTAGACCCTGTAGACCCTTACTAAAAAATTAAAAAAAAATTAATAAAAAACAAATAAAATAGAAGGTAAGTGCATTAATTCATATAATTGTCACCTGTGTGGTGAGAGAGAATGGTATAGGGAGGGAGATGAGTAACTGCACTGGTACAAGTAATATTCTCATTCTCCATTCAATGATGGCTTCATGGGCACAAGGTAATTCTATGTTTTCTTATATACTCTATAACTTAACATGTGCCAGCGTGATACACATATTGGTTTGTATGTACTAAGTTTATGTAAGAAAAAAATTTCTTCTAAAACTAATAAGCAACTTCTATTGCCCAAAAGAATATTTTAAATACTAGTATAATTACTACACTTAAATAACATTATAAACTAGAGTTATAATTAATAGCTCAAATATCATTAAGTTTCCATATAACATATGCAGCTTAGTTCCCAAACTGGAGCTTAGGACCTTAAGAAAGCAACAGTATTTTCATGATAATGAATATTTATATAATAAGGAATGACATTCAAAATATTTAACAACTTATTTGGCTGTAGAAATAAAACATTAGCACCATCTGCTTGTTTTGTGTCTGTTCATTATTTGCACAGACCACAGTCCTACAAGGACTTCCATTTGCAAGAGAGGCCACAGGAGAGTGACTCTAGTCCCCAACAGCTACAAACCTCAGGTTGTGCCCGCTGGCCAGGAAGTACTGTAAGGGCAAGGGGCAGCTCAGAAGACCTACACAGGGTGGCTCTCTGGCCAGAGGGCAGCCCAAATGCCTCATTGAAAAGGTATCTTTTGAGTAAAGTCTTAAAATGGGAATGTGAACCATGAAGATCACTTGGCGAGTTTTTCAAAGGAAAGAGAACCCCAAATATAAATGCCCTAAAGGAACAGTGTATCAAAAGTGCTCTAGGAACACGAACTAGACCAACAGGACTAGAAGTGAGGGAGAGATGCGAGTTCAGGAAGAGATAAAGGCTGAGTGATAACAAGCCTCTAGGGCCAGAATCAATGATGGCAAACCTTTTAAAGGTTTTAGTGACAACAAACAGCTGTACCATAGGTTCATAACCATTGCTCTAGGCCACTGGAAGCAATTTATTTCTTGGGCTGAGCGACATGAGATGCTGGCAAAGGGCTCTGAACAAAGGAGTGACATGATATTATAAAGCATCTTAAACAACTGCAGGGGGCAAGGACAGAAGAAGGGAGGGTAGTGATAAAGCTATTACCATAATCTAGGCAGGTGATAGTGGTAGCCTGAACAAAGATAGCAAGTTCCATCACCTGCATTCAACAGTGGAGAAATGTGATTGAAACCATGAGATCCAGTGTTATCACCATCAAGTGCAAGGGCCTGAATTCAATCCCCGGTTCCACCAAAAAAAAAATGTTATCACCAAGAAACTCAGCAAAGATAGAGAACAGAGGCAAAGAGAAAAGGCCGTGGGACTCAGCATTAGGCCCATCACTATGCAGAGGTAGGGGACATGAGGAGAACCCAGCAAGAATAATCTTTATCTACAAACATGACTAGTCACTTTTTGAAGAAAATGATGTTTGGCCTTTCATGATAGGCATGGGAAGGTTTCTTCCATTTTGTATTAAACTAGCAACAAGGCACAAAGCCAGTACTCACGGATCTGGTTGGTAGATGCACTATAGAAGGCATTTACAGTTGTTGGGTTTGTAAACCACCTGTAGGAAGAGAAACAAACACAAGAGCAATGGTCATTAGCTAGGCAGGATGGGGGCAAAGATAAACACGATGTGGCTGGACTTGCTAGCAGACAAGCACAGAACACTGGGGTACTGGGCACAAAGGGAAACTAGTGCCTCAGTCAGGGCCTTTGCTGTACCCAATAAAATGTTTCACCCTAAACTGAACATAGTTTAGCAAGAATATATTAACATGCCTGTTTATTTGAGTTATTCATGATTAGTAACAATGGAAAAAGTCAGCACCAGTGCTTCTGATAAAGCTTTAATGAGAAATTCTAGAATCTGAAGGGATCTCTGTGTCAATGGAAACAGCAACAAGCTGAAGTTTGCCATGCCCTGTTCCACAGGTCCAAGGGACAGCTCCATTTCTATGCTACCCCACCTCTCATCTGCCTGTCTTTGTCACTTTCCTCATCACGGGGACATAATATGTGACACCTACAACTTAGAGGGTTATTTTGGCCCATGGTTTCAGTCCATCATCTGCTGGCTCGGGAGCAGGGTGGTGTACCACAGCAGCACGGAGGAAGAAAAGCTGCTTGTCTTGGCAGCCAGGAGGAAGAATGGCAAGGGAGCAGCTCTTCTGCCCAGGGCCCACCTCCTGACTGCAAGCCGGCAGCACCACCCATGTGATGCAATAGCCTTCCACAGGCCCCTCTTCTGAGCATGTGGCTTTAGGGAGCATCAAGAAATAAGCCATAATACTATTCACTACAGAGTCTGAAATTGGTGACAACACAGAGGTCCATTTAAAGAGAGATGAATAAAGTACCATTGTGCTACCAGACAGTATTCTTGCTCCATTGAAAAGTTCACTGTTTTAAGTGGTAAAATTTTTTTCATAATTTTATTGACAGACAAATAGCAATGAGACAGTTTCAAATCAAATTGGTAGGACAGTTTCAATGATTAACACATTGCATACTGTCTTCCTAGTGGTTAATTGCTGTACAAGATGCAGACATGATATACTATTTATAAACACTATTAGAACAAATCCCTCTATTCATTAAGAGAATGTAACCATATATCTATCCTAACCACTTTGAATACACAGATACAAAATGGACATTCATCTGTATCCCCTTTCTTTATTTAGTTCTGTCATTTGAATATTATAGGTGTGTTAACTCAGCAAAATATTCTAAAAGAGTCCAGTAGCCCATAACAGTATTGGGTCTTCCGCTTCACTGGCAATGTCAGAAATTGTTGACCTGAGTCCCCTACAGCTCAACATAACACCATGGCTTTAGTTCTTATACTTTGTTTTTATACTTTTCTGCCGGATGGTTAAGACCAAGATAAAGCAAGACCTATGCAACAAGAGTTGTAGCTTTTGGGTCTGATAAGGTCAGTGAAATCCTCTCAGGATTTATCCTGAGATCCTGTACCTCAGATTGTAGAACATTTGTCAAGTGTCAGCCATGTGGATGAATTAGTCATTGCTTGGCCAATGTGCTCTCTGTGAAAGCCTGAGAGAATGTTTTCTCTCCATGTGACTCTCCTTAGGCACACTCTACATCATCGATCACTTTCGTCTTTGGCCCCATAATCACCTTGATCAGAAAATTTGGCACACTACTGAGTTACATGATGTTACAGTACAAGATCTCATATGTCCTGAGTCTTAATTGACCTTGGAAGGCTAGGTTGTAATCACCAAACATGGGAGCACCCAACTATATAAAGCCAATCTTAATGGACATGAAAAATCTCTAATCCAATACCACAATCTTAACAGGAGACCTTAACACACCCTTATCCCAAAAAGATAGGTTAACCAGACAAAATATTAGCAAAGAAATAACAGAACTGAATCAGAGCATGAAACAAATCGACTTGGTGGACATATACAGAGTGTTCCACCCAAACACAGCTGAAATCACATTTTTCTCAGCTGCACATGGGTCATTTTCTAAAACAGACCACATACTGGTCCATAGGTCATGCTTAAGTATATGCAAGAAAACAGAAATTATCTCATGCGTATTATCTGACCACAGTGCAATGAAACTGGCAAAATGTTTAATACCTGTCCTCTCTCTATCACTAGCTAGTTGAGCTATATTGGAGATGTCAGTGACATTCCTGGGGTACAGTTTTATCCACAAAGTTAAAGTACTAAATTGGGAGATTTAGTCCCTTACAGCTATGAACAGTCTACACCTTTATCTTAAACACATATCAGTTTACTTACATGAGGTCTGGAAATTTTTTTTCTATGTAAAAGTCATACTGTGAATATTTTGGGCATTGTGGGCAAAGAGGCAAAACCAAGGGAAAAACATAGATACTTGAGAACAAATTTTCCACAAATATGTATTACATTTTACTGACAAAATATACTAATCAAGTAATTTTGCAATACAAGAATATTAATGAGAAAAATTGAATTCTTTGGGATAGGAGAATATTTTTCTTAATTGTAGTTCAAAGTTTTTAATCTCCATAATCAACCAGCTTCGCTTAGCTATGGAAATTACCTCTGGTGCATGGGCTATATAAAAATTAAATGCAGGTAAGACTCTGCCCATAAGTTGAAGCTTTCCAACTCTCAGTTTAGATCTTTGTGAGTTTTGGTTACTGCCTTTTATGATTAAAACCAAGCAATTCATCTTAAACTAAACTGCTCAAAAATAAACTTGTATACAGCTTGGGATGTAGCTCAGTACTACAAGGCCTTAAAACCATAGGACCATAGAAAGAAATAAAAAAATTGGTATAGATACCATTTTCAAAACAATAATTTTATTCAGTTTTGTCTAACAAAATAATTACTGTGCCAAACTACTAAATTAATTCCCATCAAACTAATATGAAACTGACAGGAAAAGCAATTATTAATTCTAGTGGATCCACTCACACTTTCTTCTAACCTCTAAGAAAGTCTATGAATATATCACCCTTTCATTACTTACTATTAGCTAACATCCACTTATGTGGCTTGTGTCTAGATGTCCATTCAAAGCCTCATGTGGTCATAGGTGGGGATTTGTCAGAGGTGATTGGATCTAGAATACGTGATGCTAGAATGGATTCATGGTGCAATGCTAGGATTAAGGACACTAGGATTAAGTGTGTGAGTGCTACTCACCCTAAATAGCCTAGATGAAATATAAGGGATAGAAAGGGCTTTGGCCATCCCTTGTTGCTTTGCGACCTTCTTCCCACCATGAACTATTTTGCCTCTGTGGTGCCTGCCTGTCATCCCACCCTGCCCTGGAGCCAGCCCATTATAGAGTGAAAGCTTTATAAACTGTGAGCTAAAGAAACCTTTCCTCCCTTGACTTTTGGGGGTTGGGTGTCTCAGCAAAGAAAAAGAAACTAAGACATTCACTAAGCACTTATTCTATGTTAAGTACTTTATTCACAGTTATTTTCTCCATATCAACTATAGGAATTAATAGCTTATTGCACAGATGAGGACAATAAGACTTAGAAGCATTTTATGTTTTCACAAGGTCTGGTTCATCTGACTTCAAAGCAGTTGTCTTGAGCATTTTATTAAAGACATTCCCAGGCATTAAGAAAGAGAACACCTTGTCAAAAATGAAACCTAGATTAATTTCCAAAGAATTCATTATGTTTCCCTTTATATTTAAGGCAAGTATTTCAAGAAATCCCCAGTGTTTGAAAGGAACTTGTTGGCTGTCACTTTCTTGAGAAAACAGTTAGAAAAGAAAGCAACTTTACTGACCTAAACTTGCTACTTACAGTAAGTAAAACTATACTCACACCCTAATCCCCAGGATCTTGTCAATATGTTATATTACACAGTACACAGAACATTGAAGATTTAATTAAAGTTAAAAACCTTAAAATAGAGAGTTTATCTTGAATTATCTAGGTAGATTTTATCTAATCACAGGAACCCTTAAAGCAGACAACTTTTTTTTATAGGAATCTGAGAGATACAACAGAGGAGGAGGTCAAAAGAGATATTGCAGATGTAAAGTCAGGGAGAGTACAAAGGTGAAAAAAATTGATTTGCTTTTGCTGTCTCTAAGATTTAGAAGCCAACACGGAAAGGTCTCAGGGGTGCTATAGTTTGTGTCTAGTTGTCCTCCCAAAGCCTCATGCAGTCATGGGGCAGACTTCTAGAGTTTGTGATTAACTCATGATCCACTGGAATTATGGGTGTAAGTGCTGCTGGGATTATGGGTGTGAGTACTACACCCAGCCTGGGACATATAGCCTGAATGCAATTAAGGAGATATACTTGCTCTCTGCTGCCATTGTTGTTGTTACTCCTCACTTTTGTTCTTGCTGTTTTGCTGCCTTCCGCCACCATGAACTGCTGCCCTCTGCCATGTGCCACTCTGCCTTGGAGCCAGCTGAGTATGGACTAAAACCTCCAGTGACTGTGAGCTAAATAAACCTTTCCTTCCTTCATTTTGAGTGTCAGGTATTTGTCCCAGCAACAAGAGAAGAGTAACTGAGACAAGGGGAAAATAATGGCTCTAATACAGTAGCCAGCAAAGTAAAGGCCTTAAACTTACAACCGCAAGGAACCAGATTCCTCCAATATTAATGAGCTTGAAAAGGGAGCCCTTCCAAAAGCACCTGATAAAATCTAGCCAAGTCAACCCCTTAATTTCAGCCATCTGAACCTCAAAGCAGAGAAACTAACTAAGCCAATCCTTATTTCTGATATGCATAACTATAAGATAAGCATATGTTGTTTTAAATTACAAGTGTGGTAATTTGTGAGAGCACCAATAGGAAATCAAACTCTACCGAAAGAACCCAGTGTTTGTAGGTAAAAGGAAAATCCATGTACCTCTCAACGTGGTTGCTAAATAGCACTGGGTTAAACCAAAATATACACACGAAGCAATGTGTATTCCTAGAGCTTGTCCCTTTTCTTCCCATTCTCCCTAACTCCCCTTCTTTTATCAAAGAATAAACTTTCTTTGCTAAAGTTTGTACCATGCAGCACACTAACTGCTGATAGGCAAAGGTGGAAAACACAAAGA